AATTTATAAATCAATTAATTAATAAAAGCATTTATTATTATTATTATTAATTTTGTTATCACAATTCATTGGGTGAATCATAATTCTATATAAAAAATTACCAAAGCTTTTTTAAATCACAATAATTAATCCGACTGCAATTTATAGAAATGAAAGTGTTTATATTAACACCCTGTATCTTTGTTCATTAATTGTTTTGTTTTGGTATAAAAAAATTACACATCATGTGTGTTTCACCCTGTAGTTTATTCTCCAGTCGCAAAAATATTGAAATGGAATAAAATTTAAATTTTCATAAATATTAGGAATTGAAAGAATTTTTTTGAGTAAACTACCAGTTCTTTTTGGAAATAAATTAATAAATGTTTAAAGGTTGTAAAGGAGCGATGCCAAAATATTTTTTATTTTAATTATTTGTTTAAACTTTTGAGATTATCATACTAATAATTTTTTTCTTAAATAAAAACGGTTTTTTATTTATTGTTTTACAATGATATTTTTATGCATTTTATAAATGTACAAAAATATTTATTGAAAATGTTACAATTTATCTATTTTTTGCAAATTTTGTTGAGGCACGAATGCAAACAGCTGCCCCGGAAATTGTTATTACTTCCCTTGGTTATAAATAATGCAGGTGTTTTMAATGGGTTGAAAAATGAATGTTACGAAATCGGCATTTTGTCTTATCTSAAAAAGTCTGATAATGTTTCAGTATTTAGATTCTTAGCTCTCATAAATGAAATTATAAATTAATCTAGGACTTGGAAAATTTATGACTGCAAGCTTAATTATAACTGATTAATTAATTTGGAAGATAAATAGGTAAATGTACTGTCAACATTTATTATTCAAAAAGTGTAAATTACTGTTACGAAAAATTGAAATAAATTGTTCATCTCTTAATGAATTTTCTAAATACAAGTTGTCAAGTATTATACTTAAGCCTCAAGCAGTTTTTTATTGTTAATTTCTGGCTTAAAATCAAGCCAAATTGATTGGAAATGCTACAAATTGCTAAAAATTGGGATTTAAGCAAATATTTTGTTAAAATACATTAATTTAGAATGATTTTTGGCTTAAAATCAAGCAAACATGGCTCAAATTGCTTTATTTCGGCCAAAAATTAGGTTTCAAA